CGCTCAGAGTATGCAATTTCCGTAGGGATTACCGAATACGAGAATCTTCATTTCCAACTCTTGAACAATAATGGTTCGTTCCATTCCGCTCCTGAATGTGCTGCCAACGAATCATTTCCCATATCTAGTACTTCTAACATCCTATCTTCAATGCAACTCATCCTTTCAGTAGAGGATTAGCAGCATTTGCGCTGCGTTACTTGTAATTATTGGTATTTCATGCATCTTAACATTTTCAACCAATTCTGATCGATTACAGTATTTATTATCATCGAATCAACATATTATATCTCTACTGAAATCAGCAACTACTATTCACGATAATATTGTTCTAAACAAGAGTCAATCTAATATGAGTACATGCATGAGAAATTTTATGAGATTTAGTGAACGTATCTTGGTAACAGTACAGCCAACAATTGCTGAATTCCTTCAGAAAACTTCTTATCGATGTTTAAATGATTTTGCTGCTATATATTGGGCTGCCATTAGAAGTAAAGGTACTATGAATGGAAAATGGAGAAAACGAAAACAAGATCCTTATAATGGTTGGTATGATTGTCGATATGAATCAAGATATATATCGATTGATTGTATCAGAGGAACTTTTTTAGTTGATAATATGGCCATAGGTTTTTTACCTGAAAACATAACAACGAATGAATTATTTGTACGCGTATTTGGTAATCATATTTTTGAAGTTCAATTGGCTGAATCACCTAAAACTTATATTACTAAACATTCGTATCATGGTAATGGAAGAGTTCAATATGAATTTTGTTTTAATGATCAAACCAAATATTTGAAAGTTATTGAACGACATATACAGACTGATAAAACGTTTCAATTAATTGCTCATACTTGTTTTCAAAAAGAACTACCTGATATGTTTGTGTCCAATCATAGCCATTGGTTGAACATAGAAACTCAGATAGTCGAATTTCGACCTATTCATTTTAAAGAACCTGACTTTTTAGATAACAGACCATATATTTTATCATTGAAAAGTGGATATGTTATTACTACTGTAGAAAATAATACACAAATTTTAATTAATCAATCATCAACATTCTTTCAAAAATTATTTAATCGATATTTTAATCGTCTCGATGATAAACCCTATGTTTACATGATGCGCAGCAATATCTCCTCTCATACTGATATGATTATTTACATACATTTATCTCGTTTAGGCATTGCTTTTGAATACAATACTTCAACCCATATTATAAAATCTCGTGAATATTCAGATATGTGTATTGATAAAGATCAATGGTTAGGAACTTTAACAGATCTAACGTTTGGTCTTCTCTTATCACCATTACCAACAAATAATTACAGATTGAATCATTATCCATATCGAAAATTGATTGTACCTTTTGGCACGCTTCAAAGTAAAATATTAAATTACAACACGAATCATCAAACTATTACAATAGACCGATCGTCTTCAATACCGTTTCCTCATCAATATTTTGTTTTTATTCTCAATGATCGATTAAAAATACTTCAATCAACAGATAGTCCTACTGGATGGCTTTATTTAGCATTGTTACATGCAATAACTTCTCATCCTTTACCCGATCATTATACTGGAATGACTGGAATGGAACGAGCCTTTCAATTATTGAATTCAGCTGGTTGTTGGTCAGATCAGCCTTTTGATGAAGTTTCGTTAAATATTCTTTGTCAAATTGCATCTATTTCCCCAAAAGTTGATTATTATCCACAAAAAACAACTGTTATGGAACAAATAGATTGGAATTCAAATGGTATACCCTACTCGATGCAACATTTCGGTTATTATTTGATAACAAAAAAACTAATCGACAGTAGCCAAATATTCAATTTTATGTATCCATCGATGATATCACATAAAATGCCAGAACTATTTCAAGGAAAAATATACAATGAAACATTGTTGAAGAAACTATATTGGAATTATCGCGATTCATATAATCCGATAGCAAGATTATCTGTAGAGATGGAGACTGACATCTTGAGTAACCATTCAGTAACACTGTATCGTCCAGCTTCGGAACATTGTTCACATATTACTAACTACTGTGCTGTCCGTCTTGTAGATGACCTATATAATAATGGAGATGTATATCTTAAGGACTGTTCGAACCAGCATTGGTTACCCTTGTCTCAATGGTTGACTGATGAAAATAATTTGAAAAATATTTGGATTGGCTTATTAAAATTAGCTGACCATATTAAAACAGTAGCGGCTGGTAACAATACAGATGATATTAAACGATTTGAAGGCTTGTTAGACTTCCTTCATTATATTTCCAATAAACGTAAGATCAATCCATTTTATTTGCAAATATTAAAGACAACTTTGAAACTTTCGACCATATCACTAAGCTCCGTTGAATTTCCTCCTTTTATTCGTTATCATAATGTCGAACGAATTCGGGTTGTAAATGAGAATATCCATTTTTCAAGTAATCTTACTTCATACCAAGAAAACAAAATTTTATCAAGAATTCGAGACTGTTTTGAATGTGGTCATAGGTTTGAAGATTACGACGACCTACTAACTTATAATGAAATAAGTGAAATCAATGGATCATTACAAGCATGGCAATCTAACAAAAAACTTCGATCTTTTTTAGAAGCCGTTCAACGTCTCATTTGTTCTGTTCCAATAGAACAGTTTAATATCAAAGCACCATATTATTCTCAAAGATTTGCACGTGAACGACCCAAAGATCACTATCAAATACAAATTAAATTTATCGAGAAATCAATTGATCAAATAATTTTACGAAATGCTGAACAAAAATTTCATAATTTCAATGCAGATAATATTAATCAAGCAACTAAATGTGTTCAAAGAACTAATCGACAAAATATATTCCCACAAGAAATTTTTTCTCCTATGTCCAAGCAAAATAATGATCTAAACGAAATTACTAATTATTTTAAAAATCAATTATCTCAAAGTTGGAACGAACTTCTTTTGGACAGTCAATATGAACAAGGATATTTTTCAATTAAAAAAATCAATGAACTTTTTGATTCTTTTCGAGAAGAATCTACAAAATTCTGGAATGAATTATTCCGTTCTATGACATTATCCAATGAACAATTATTTGAAACAGGTCTCATTTTAAGAATCACTCCAACAACTCTTATACCTTTACTTCAAGAAAAAAATTCATCTCTTGAAAAATCTTTATCATTCATATTGACTATGGAACAATACACACTACTTGGTGGTATTATTGTCAATTGGACATTAGCACAACAAATGGAAAGAACTTTGTATTTTGCATTTCATAAAAAATGGGAAGATTTTAAAAAAGAAATATCACATATACCACATTCAAATTGGAAACCATCTGAATATATTCCTTGGCTTATTTTAGAATTAGAAATGAATATAACTATACGTGAAATGCAAATCAATGTAGCACAACATATGATACAGCCAAATATAAAAACAGATGATTCAACAGTACGAAATATAGTAATGCAAATGAATATGGGCGAAGGAAAAACATCAGTCATTTTACCAATGTTAGCTGTTAATTTATCTTCATCTAATTCGAGTTTAGTTCGTATTATAGTACTTAAATCATTATTTCCAACAAATTATCAATCATTACGATATAAATTAGGTGGCTTATTGAATCGACGTGTTTTTCCATTTGCATGTCGTCGTGATATGAATTTTAACAATGTACAAATAAATCAAATTTTTAAACGTTTTCAACAAGGATTACGAGATTGTGATATTATATTAAGTTCACCAGAAGATATTCCTTCATTTGATTTACTCACTATTGATAAATGTCGAAGAAATGAATTTGATGTTAGTCGTTCGATGTTAACAATTCAACGATGGTTGAAAAAATATGTTCGTGATGTATTAGATGAATCAGATGAAATTTTACATGTGAAATATCAATTGATTTATACTGTTGGTAGTCAACAACAAGTTGATGGAGGTGCAGAACGTTGGAAAACTATTCAAACAATTCTTGAATTAGTTAAAAAACATTCTGCTGATATTTCAAAAGATTTCAGCGAAAAAGTATATTATAAATTATCTGAACGAAAAAGTGCATTTCCACAATTTCGTTTACAATCATCTGAACCATTTCTATTACTTTGTCAAAAAATTGCAAATGATTGGTTCGATAGTAGAAATTATCGTTATACAGATAAATCAATTATATTATCATTTATTTTAGAAACATATTCATCAGTTGAAAATCTCATTGATAAATTTCCACGTCTTGATATACAATTATTTCTTATTATTCGTGGTTTATTATCATCTGAAGTTTTATTAGTTGCTTTTAAAAAACGATATCGAGTTAATTATGGTGTCAATCCAAGTTCTTCTTTTAATCGTTTAATGGCTGTACCATTTCGTGCAAAAGATGTTGTAGCTGATAGAACTGAATTTGGCCATCCTGATGTTGCGTTAGTATTAACACAACTCTCATATTATTATTCAGGTTTAAATAATTCACAATTATCACAATGTTTCAATCGTTTAAATAATGAAGAAACTGATCCTACATCGATTTATGATCAATGGATTTTATATGAAGATGAAAAAGATATACCAAATAGTATTAAACAATGGAATAGAGTTAATTTAAAAGATTATCAACAACAAATTGATTATCTATTTCCTACATTTCGATATAATATGTTAGTTATTAATTATTTTCTTAATTATTTTGTATTTCCTCGAGAAGCAAAACAATTTCCATATAAATTAACTGCTTCTGGATGGGATTTATCTACATCGTTACGATCACAATTAATTACTGGATTTAGTGGAACTAATGATACACAATTATTACTTCCTATTCATATTCGACAATATGATTTACCAGAACTTCAAAAAACAGATGCCATTGTTGTTAATAATTTATTACAAATTGAAAATGAAAATTATCAATTTTTATCACTTAATGTAACATCAGAAAATATTTTAAAACAAATTATAGAATACAAAGAAATCATAAATGTTATTTTAGATGTTGGAGCATTGTTTATTGATGGAAATAATCAAGATATTGCTATTAAATGGTTGAATTTATCCGATAGAAATATAATCGATTATGTTATTTATTTTGATTCAGATTCAATTATTGTTTGTGATCGTCAGTTTCATCGTCATCCATTTGTAACATCTCCAGCAAGTGAACGATTAGATCGTTGTATTTTTTATTTAGATGAAATTCATACTCGAGGAACTGATTTTAAATTTCCTCAAGGTTTTAAAGCTGCTATTACATTAGGGAATGGTTTAACAAAAGATCGTTTTGTTCAAGCATGTATGAGAATGAGAAAATTAGGTCATGGTCATTCATTAACATTTTGGAGTTCATATGAAGTTCATCAACAAATTAAAGATCAAAAAGATAATACAAATGACTCGATTAAACTGATTAATATTCTTCGTTGGGTCTATGAAAATACTCAACAATCAACTTGGGATGGTTTACATCATTGGGCTACACAAAGTTTAAATTTTCAAAGAAATATTTCTGCATTTCAACATATTGATTGGTATAATGATCAACAAATATTTACTGACGTATTGATGAAAGATTTAGCTGAAGAATGTTCAGAATCTGAAATCATTGAACTTATAAATATGTATGGAGTTTCGAAAAAACTGCAAACATTATTCGAAATTCATCATAATCGATATGAACAAGCTCAGCATGGTGTATGGAAAGAAATTAGAGATGCAGTATTAAAACGATTACAAGATTATTGTGGAACAAAACAACGTTTATCACAATTATTAGATGAAGAACAACAAAGAGAATTAGAACAAGAATTAGAAGAAGAACGTCAGCTAGAACGTCCACCACCTGTCACTCCATATGAACCTGTACTCCATGAGGAAATTAAACGCTTGTGTAATACAAATGGTGCTGTGATGAATCTAGCACAATATTCTCATGTATTTCGTCATTTACCATATGCTTTCATTGACACAACATTTGTTAACGATTGTCAAGCTAACAATTGGCAAGAAAATTTTTGGATTTCAACTGAATTTCAACGTGTAATTGAAGCTAAAGGAGAATCATTAAATCCATTTTTACGTCCTCTACGATGGATTATTTTCTACCGTAATCAACAATTAATTTTTCTTAGTGCTTTGGAAGCCAATTGGTTGATGGGTCGTTTAAACTCTCCTTATTATAAACAAAAATCCAATCGACGATCGACCACAACATTACGATTATTATTACCTCGAATTAAACGAGTTCAATCAATTTTTATCAATGTGCCAACTCTTACCATTCCTCCAATGATTGGACATCCCAATGGTGTTGCTCCTTTCTTTATACCGCTCGAATGGTTGGTTCAATTATTTATTTTTAATGGTACACTTTATTTTGAAACAGTTGATGAACAAACAGCTTATTGTCAATGTTTAAGTTTATGTCCAAAACCTCGAACGGCAGAAGAAGAAGAAGCATTTAAAAATGGTTGGATTGCCGTCGATGGCTTTGTTAGTAATCCTCAACATCGTCAATATTTGAGAATGCATCAAGTTCGATTCACTTGTAATCTATTAACATTTGTCAAACAGATCATTGAAAATCGAAATAATTCACATGCACCTATATCATCACATGTTGGTGGTATTATTCTAAATTCACTAAAACTTATTTAATCCTTCGAAGATTGAACATAATATAATCACATTTAATTCAGAGACAAATACTTTTTTTTTCATTATTTGAATTAAATCTTACTAATAAAAAACAAGAAAAGAATTCAATAAAGATTATAAATTATAAAAAATAAATACGGAAACTTCGGATTTAAATCCGAGAGTTATGTGTACTGCAAAAAGTGAATTAGACAGATAAGTCATCCTTGAATGTCTTGACATCAAAATTACACTGGGGAAACTTTCCTATAAACTGTTGTTTTCTATTGGCTATTGTCCAACCAGTAGGACTTGGGGGTGAATACAGCTCAGATTTGTACTCTTCGCCTTGATTTACCCTTAGAAAGTCATTTTTCCTATAACTTGATTTCTATTGGTCACTGTTCAACCAATAGTATTTCGAGGCAAGTGGAGCACAGATTCGAGTTCTCCGCCTCAGAAAACCTTGAAGTATCATCTTGATGATCGAAAGATAGAGCTCTATTTGTGAATCAATTAGAGCATGGACAAAAACAGAACCTATTGCCGTTTAATTATCTCTGTAATAGGTGAGTTAGCCTTCTCGTTCCTTTATGTTTTATATACCATTTTGCAGCTCGTGAAATTCTCTATCGAATGGTATATAATAGTTGTGGTTTTATTTGACTATGATGGGAAAAGTCTTTTACGAAAGCTGGGATGGGTCGATTTTCGCATAGGAAGCCATAGGGAAAAATGACTATTTTTGCAATAACTCACGAATGGCTCGGCCGATCATGCTCACCTTCGAACTCGAGCGAGACATTGTTAAGACTAAACTGTGTAAAAAATTTCATCGTGATCTGACTTTCCTTTCAAAAGTTATCGTGTAAACGGACGGACACACTGACCGATTCTAGAGTGTACTCACTTTTTGAGTACACAAAAAGTCAATTAAGAATTGGTGTTAAAAACTCGTCACTTCGTGATAAATATCACGAATCATTACCGTTGAACATTTTTGACTGCAATCATTATTATCAACATTAATGTTGCTGGTTTTTGTATGAACCTCTTTATTAGGAGAGTTCATGTAAGTATTTGTTCCTGTTATTTTTTGTTTTTGTTATTATTTAGTTATTATTATCGTGTTCAATATCGTCCCCCATGCAACTGCTTATATGTTACAAAAAAAATTTTTTTTGATTATATCATTGTAATTATTGATTTTAATTCATATGATATTTATATTTATATAATTAAAATGAACAACTGATGTTATTATTGATGTTTTTGTTTCTGTACATTCAATTACTCATTACCATTTATTAAGAGATAAATCCTAATGATAAAAATCGATTAAAATTAAACTGTCCTCAACTATGTCATGATTATTTCGAATGATTTACTCAATTATTGAACCAACTCTTTAAAAACAGCTGTAATTAAAAATTATTGATTTAGAACTAACAACAAAAATTGCCTCATCGATTGTTGATCCTTCTCATTCACTAACTATTCTTACATTTTAGTAGTGATTTTGTTTACTATGTTTTTTCTTGACGGCAACATTTACAATTATTGGAATTGAATACAAACGATTATCTTGATCATTTTTTTTCTTTTCCTCATAAACTTTTAATTTCGTCAAGTACTGTTCGTTCCTTATCTTTTGAAAATAGTTCTTCCTGTGATCAATATCAATTATTCAAATTCGAAAAGAATCTTTAAATTAAGATCTTATTTATGATGATTACCATTAGTTGCTCAAGATAAATAAACATTATTACTCCAACAATTGAACATCTCCATACATCTATTGGATAGTACACATTACTCCATACTTTTTATACAAGACAATTTTACACACAATCGATGGAGATTATATTGTTTTTCATTTACATCGTAATCACAGAAATTTTATGTTCGATTATGTTTCTATTTTTTTTCTTTTTCTTCTTCTGTTTAAAGGTTTCATTATGTTTGTGCACTTTTTTTCATTTATTGTCATTTTTTTTTCAAGGTGAACCATTACATTTGTATAAAAAGTTTTTCAATCTCATTGAAAAATTTTTTTTCTCATGGGGAAGGGTATTATGATATGACAACTACATTTCTGTAATTGCTCATCTTTTTCTCTCGTGTTGTCTTTCTTTCATCTTTTCTTTTGTTCTTCTTCACCTTTTCTTTGATACATATATATGTGCGTGATGACCTCGTCAGATGGAAGAAAAAAATATATAAAACGAAATAAAAAAGGTTAGCGTTCTATTTGAAATGAACTTATATTTGCCCTTGAGGAAAGATAGAACAACAGCTGTGAAAACAGCTGACAATAGTGATCAGCGGAGTCGCATTTTTTCACTCCGAAACCTGACTCCGACTCCTAAAAAAAATTTTTTGCGACTCCGATTTCTACTCCGACTCCGAAAAAAATTTTCTTTCGACTCCGATTCCAACTCCGACTCCGAGAAGAAATTTTTCCGGACTCCGACTCCGACTCCGAAAAAACTCCGAAACTGTGTTTTGTAGTCTATCGACATAAAATCCATACCATGGTTCGATATTCTGGAAGGAGAAAAACAATTGGCGACTCAATAAGAAATAAAATACAGTTTATTTTGTCATAAGACACATTTCGCCATGTTTTTTTTTCAGAAACAAAAAAAGAGAAATTATGAGTAACAAATTTTAACACATAATTGATGATTATCGGAGTCGGACTTTTTATTTCTGAAACCCGACTCCGACTCCGAAAAAATTTCCTTGACTCCGATTCCAACTCCGACTCCGAAAAATTTTGTGTTCGCGACTCCGACTCCGACTCCAACGGAGTCGGAGTTGGAATCGAGTTTCGGAGTCCTATGCAGTTCACTAGCTGACAACAGATAATGAATCATGGAGATAATTAAACGACCAATCGATATCGTTTATTAGAAATATGTCGATTTGCCTTTAGAGAGTTCTCGTAACGATAAATTTCCTGAGGGCTAGTTTAAAAATCTTTCAGGTTTTTATCAGCTGATCGGTCGAAACATAAATTTTAGAATTGATAGATACAAATAAAACACTAGTTCGAGTGAAACGTAAATATTGTGTCGATAAAAGCGATCTCTGACAAATTCTAAAATCCATAATTGATTTTTATGACATATCATTGTTTTCGAAAATCGAAATTTCGTGCTTTGCATCGCATTTCGTATTTAAGTTTTTCTCGAATACTATCTAGTTCATTATTTGAAAGTAGATTGACTAGTAGTTATTAACAACCAAACGAGAATACTACATAAAAAAGTCATTGTTTTAATATTTATTTTAATTTAGACGTATAATTATATTATTTTTTGATAAGTATGATTAAAACAAAAATACTTTTCTTTCCCTTAAAGAATAGCCTCATAAACAAAAAAGAAAGAAGGTTTTTGTTTTACAAGAATAACGAAGAAACAAAGAAAGAAAAAAAAAATTATTTATTTTCTCTCTTATATTTTTGTTTTCATTTCTAGAATACTATCTGTTTTATTCATTGTGCATTGTTTGTGATAAAATGATAATGAATTAAAATAAATTGCTCTTTTCAAACTGTGCATACATCAGATAATTGGTTATCGATCTTCATGTTGGCAGATCGTTGTGCTGTTACTCTAATTGTGTGTTCAATTGTTTTTATTTATGCAGTTTATTATATTGTTGGATTACAACGTAAAAAAATTCAATCATCTATTATAAATATTGCATCTAGATTAATACCAACATCATTTTATAAGCAATTATCAGATAATCACCTACTCTTCATCCAACAAACACAAGCAAATCTAAACACTTCAAACTCAACAAAAGTAAGTCAATTGCAAATAATATAAAATTTCTCAAGTAGCTGAAAAGTTTATTAACACATAGTTTCATTTGTTATCTATAAAACATGAAAAAAAATCTAAGAAAAATAGAATTATTCAGCATTAAAATAACATAAAAATGAATAATAGTAATAGATTTTTTTTTTTTATTATAAGAAGACTAATCATACTGTTGGTTTCCAATCAACGAATATATTACACAATCTCACAATAAATAATTCAAGTCTCAATATAACATTTAATCTTGCTACTACTACTACTACTACAATTCAAACAACAACTTTACCAACAATATTAATCCCATTTTTAAATGCATCATTTTATTTATCTTTTAATTTTACTAAACCATCTTTAAATATTTATAAGTCTCTACCAATTTGTAATTTTTCTATATCAAATAATGATAAATCAATATATAAAGTAACTATACCTCAAACACTTTATTCATATGATATTATTGAAAAACATTCCGGCAAAGATTTATATCCAGGTGGACATTACATTCCAAAAGGATGCCGAACAGAACAACGTTTAGCTCTTATTCTATGTTATCGAAATCGTGAACAACATTTAAAAATGTTTCTTAATAATCTTCATCCATTTTTACAAAAACAAAAACTTGATTATACAATCATTGTTGTTAATCAGTATGGAAATGATCAATTCAATCGTGCTGCTTTATTTAATGTTGGTTATTTAGAAGCAATGAAATTATATCAATATGATTGTTTTATTTTTCATGATGTTGATCTTTTACCAGAAGATTTAAGAAATATTTATAAATGTGAAAATCAACCAAGACATATGTATGTCCAGAGATCAATACTTTGATTTATTCACATAGGTTGACAGCTTATTTTCCTAGACTATTTTCATTTCTGCATCGTCGAGTATACTAAATCTTATTTCGTTACACTAAATGGGTTGTTCAGTTTTATTCAATTTCACTTGTACAAATCTTCGAAGGTCTATTCATTCATATTTTTACACTAGTTTGAACGTAATAAATACTAAAGAATAAATAATAGTTACACATCTTTTGGTTAGAACGTTTCTAGTGTATATTCCATTCGGCTAATTCGATTTCTAAAACATTCCATATTCAATATATTAGAGATGTGTGGAATTACAATAAAGAATAATTGTCGAGATTATAAGGGAAAGTATTCTCCTAAGCGAAACTAAAGATTATAATTAAATGTCCTATAGTTTTAAGTGATTTATTTTATAAATCATAACATAATTCAAAAGAGATGACTCGAAAAAAGGGCTAACATCGACAATTAAAAACCAACACGATTATTGAAAGACTTTTTCAGATATGATACAAAAAAAATTCTCGAATAGTTTTCTCTAAACTGGAATCAGATTAAATTTATTGAGACTATAACCGAGACTATTAGAAAAGAAACTATCGAGACCGGAGCCAAAAACTTTGGTCTCGCACATCTCTAATCTACATTGATCGTTTCACCATATATCATATCTAGCTGTCTAGTTCTGTCATATTTCTTGTGAAACTTTAGGCGGCATCTATTCGTTAAACTTGCAAATTAATTACGCAAGTTTATTTAACATTGATGTAAAACTATTTCTAATTCTTGCAACTTTTCCTTTTCATACTCGTTTTCTATTAATATTTTTCTATATAACATAAATTTATTCTTTTCAAATTCATTTTTTTTACATTGTATTAATCGAAATTGAATTTATTTTATAGGGCTGTAGCTATGGATAAATTTAATCATGCTTTACCTTATTCAAACTTCTTTGGTGGTGCAACAGCATTTCGTCCATCAGATATTCTTGGTACAAATGGTCATCCAACAGTTTATTGGGGATGGGGTTGTGAAGATGATGATATGTATTTACGTGTTGTTAAAAAATTAAAAAAATCAATAATACGTTATCCAAATGAAATAGCTCGTTATAAAATGATTCGTACACATGGTCATGTAGCTGCTAAATTAAATCCGCATCGTGCTACAATATTACATTCAAAATATAATTATAATCTTGATGGTATAAATACAACAAATTATATATTACATAATATAGTTTTTTATAAATTATTTACATTAATTAATGTAACATTACCTGAAGAATCATTCGAACATATTCGTAAACGTTTACATATAAAAAAAAAAAAATAATGCTATTGTTTTACTTTTTGAAAATAAATTTATCTCATTATATTATATGTGATGATATTAATAACAATGGATTGATTAGTTATTGTTTTCTAGCTAATTGTTATAAGAGAAAACATAGTGTATATTCTGCAAGGGATAAATAGCGAAGTCCTGGAATCCTGAGATTCTGTGGAATTTTACAGAATTCTACGGAATCCGTGGGATTCTGAATTCTGGATTCTATAGATTTCCACAGAATTTTGTAACATATCATAGGAATTTCATAGAATTCCAGGATTCCACTATTTACTCTTTGATTTTTCTTGAAATAATCTCAGAAGAGAATCACACCAAGTGTTAAATCGCTTTTGAACCAAAATCATATTCGTTTGATGAGTTATAGAAAAGTTTAGAATAGTTTGGTTTATCAAGCCTTTATTCGTGATATATCGAAGTTTTATTAGGTTACCTGTGATCTTTCTCAGATCAAGTGCAAAATTAACTTTAGCCTTCAAACTTTTCTAGTATCTCTTATCCTAAGATATCCAATATTCGAAATTTTCTCATATGTAAAAGCAAATTTTGTTTATATAATTACATCTCCACAAAGGAAATACTAGTTGCATAATTAACTAATCTCATCCAGAACTTTGTTTGTGCAAAATTTGAAGTAGGAAGTTAATTGTTCATGTGACTTGAGGGGAACCATAACTAACCTAGTAAAATTTCGATATCTCAAGAACGAAGATCTGAAAAAGCAAACCATTCTAGAAGTTTCTATTACTCTTTAGCATTCATCGAATGAACATCGTCTTGTTCGAAAAGCTATTTGACATTTGGAGAGGTCCCGCGTCAGTACTAAATCATTACAGATTAGAGTTTTGAATAGGTTTTTTTGTTGATTGTGGGAGGGCGTGAGTGTGTGGGCTAGTGTGAATATTTTTTTATCCGCACTCACCTCCACATCCACCCATGCCCTCCTTTGTAGATTGTAGAACTTTTCACGTTGCATCTTGTACTGTATTTTATTTTTTTAATACATCGTATTAGATGATGAAAAAATGAGTCGAAAAAAGAAACTTTTTTGTCCGAGAGAGAGTCAAATGCATATTAATACTGAAGAAAGAGAAATTTAAGAGGAGAAAAAAAAGTGATGCTTACCGAACCAACAAAAGCGAAACAACGTGCACGAAGAAAAAAAGTAGATCAAAATAACACATCTAGATGTATATGACAGAGAAGAACAGAAATGAAGGAAATGACTCATTAAATTGCACAATTCAATCGTCATTTCTCTTCTTTTTTCTATTTTGTTGGGTGTGGGTGGGTGTGGATGTGGGTATGGGTGTGGCTTAAGTGGAAAGCTAGGCCAACGCCCGCACACCACGCACTCACACCCCACACCCACCACGGGCTTCTGCAACAACCCAATATATTCAATATCTCTCCATGATTGAATATGGTAAAGATGAAAACAAAATAAAAAGGGAGTTGAAACTTACGAAACACCCTTTAGATCAAATTTCCTCGCACAATTTAACACGTTCTATTACTAGTTAATATGCTTGTCTTACTGTTGTCTCTTTTTTCTTTTAAAAATTTGACTCACATACAAACGATCATTAAAAAGAGGAATGGCTCGTTGGCATCTGTTATTTTCTATGTTTATTTTATATGATAAATTGTATTCTATTGTGAAATGAATATTAATAATGCAGAACAAAAAAAAAAAGAAATGATGTTTATCATCTATCAGATTTTATGTCTGTTTGTCAATTATAATTTCTCTCGATAATTAATTAGAAAACTTTCTATTGTATCATCCATATTTTCAAGCCATGGTTTGCAGACTTGGACGAGTTTTGTGTTTTCCATACCGGCAGTAGATTCGTAGGATATATCACGAAAACCCAATATATCAACTAATTTATTTTCGGAATATTTTTTTAGCAATTTTTGAGCTTTATCGAAATCGAAATTTGATAACGGTTGATTCCCATCATGTGTATGTAATAGAGCAAGCATATCACGCATATAATCAAGTTCTAAATCAGCCCAAACGAGAATATCGAAAGGTACCATCGCTTTTTCTCGTTTTTTCCATTCATTTAGATCAGCTTGCCATTGATCTTTCTCAGGCAATTTAACATTACCAAGAAACACATCACGTACAAGTGCTGTTTGTAGCTCAAATAGAGAGAATGGATAGAGGTACTTTGCAGCACCTAAATAGGCGAGATATGGTTGATCAATCCAAAAGATGGTTTTGTAAAGACTCGGCGGGATGATTTCAGCTACACCACAATGTAAACGAAATCGTTTGGCCATGAATGGATAAAAATGACGATAACCAGTACAAAAGATAATAGCATCAATATTATCAACACTCGAACCATCTTTGAAATGAGCCTTTCGACCTTCCATACGAACTAATATAGGTGCAGTTTTAATTTCAGCTGGCCATTTATAACCAATAGGTTCCTCACGAGAACTGATTATCACTAATTGAGCACCGAATTTGTAACATTCGGATGCGATATCTTCTGCAGAAATGCTACCACCAATAATTAATAGATTAAGGCCCACAAATTCATCCGCACCACGAAATTCATGTGAATGAAGGACTCGACCCGGAAATTGATCTACTCCATCGATATTGATCATGTTCGGTACATGATGGTGCCCAACTGCTACAATGACCCGATCAAATGACAGATATTCTGTTGAGCCAGTATTCAGATTTTCGACCTCGACATTAAATTCATTTTTGTCATCATCGAAATCAACATGACGAACAGCTGTGTTAAAACGAATGTATCGTCGAAGATTGTTAGCTTTAGCTCTACCAGTTAAATAATCGTAAATGAGAGCACGCGGTAAGAACGATGGAAGAAAACAACCAAAATGATGATAGAATGTATAGTCAGGATATTCAATGAGTTCTTTCGGAGCATTCGACCAAAGACTAAATAAATATTTATAAACAAAATATTAGAATATAAAATTATGGGAAAGTAATTTCGTTTGGTAACTGGTATTTATTTCAATTATATAATTGAAATAAAATTGCGAACTTTAGATTCTCTTCAGCACATCATGTGTATTTTATTTTTGATTGGACAAAACAGGATTCAGAATTAGAATTCCAAGAGAACATTCTTGCGAACTTCAATGATTAATGTTCAACTTTTATAGAAAATATAAACTTTCAGAGAGGTAACTGATAATTAGATAGAGTTTATTTTTTGCAATATCTTTCGATCGGACAAAGAATATCAACTTATTGTTTAAAGTCCACGTTAGACTCACTGTCGATACATGCTCGAATGAACTGGTTCACCATGAGCATCTATACCAATCTGAGATGTATAAATCCATAAACCACCCCAATCTGATTGTCTTTCAAAGCAGACAAGTTCAATTCGTTCTTCTTGTTCAGCTTGTTTAAATGCGAATAATTGTGAAAGACCACTTGGACCAGCACCAATAATTGCAATACGTAGTTTACTCATTAAGTTGATTTAAAAATGATCTAGATATACAAATTTATCTGAAGTAATTATGTAGAAATGTTAATAGAAGAAATAATCGTTTGACATTTATAATAATTTTGTTATCAATACTTCTGTTTCTTTTTCGCATAAAATGTGTATTATATAAAGAACATTACTAAACTCCTTCCCACAATAGAAGGCCATCCTGATTAGGGAGTGGGGAAAATGCGTGGTGTCACGATTTTTCATAATAGAAGGCCGTGGTCTTCTATTCTGAGAGGGGGTTTACAATTATACAAGTAAAAAAGTAAAATAAATGTGATACTCAAACAAAAGGAATAGGTAAGTAAGGTGACAATATGTTTTGTTGCATTTAGAACACTTATTACTATCTTTTTCTGTTCTACTGTAAATACTTTTATATAGGCCTTACATGTTGATAACAAAGGCACATCAACCAAACGAACTTATATTATTCTGTTCTTTATCTTGAATTCGATTATCTAATCGCAAGACATTTTTAAATATTGGTACCGTGCCGAAGTGACGCTGTTCGTCGAAGTTATAAGTTCGACAGAAAATTTTGTTGAAGTTATTTTAGATCAATTAAATATTAAATAACTATCCAACAATCGATGATATCATGATAAATATGAATATTTAGAGTAGATTTTACAGTTTAATGATGTACGTATAGTTTTTTAAAAATCAATGAATTATTTAAAGATTATGCAGAAGAATTGAAAGTTACACTTCATTGACACTTTGAAGGAGTATTGTTCAACTCAGACTAAACTAAGTTTTATATTTGATGAAGAGTCTCTAGACCTACTACGGAGCAAACTTGCAGGAAATTCATGAATATAATCACTGCAGATGCCAGAGTTTATTTTTTGAAATCTTTTGAAATGTTACCAAAGATTTTCGTATTTAATTTAATGTAACATATTAAGACTGAGGATGAAGCTAAAATGACGTCGTTTTGAAAGGGAAAAATGAAGACAGAAACAGAAGAAAAACGAAACGAAGATGCAAGATGGTTCTTCTTTGTTATGGCTTTTATCTATACAGTGAATCGAAATGCTCATTGAATGTGTATAGACATTTTTATATACATGAACATGAAACGTGTCAATCTTATAGGAAATATGAATATAAACAATTTATGAAGTATTTTTAAAGAAAAAAAAGTCTCGACACAATAGAAAAAGATTATGCATCTGCAACTTTAATTCTTCAGAAACTGTGAATAATGTGGGTGTGGGTGTGAATAAAGAGAAGATCCACACCCACACCCACACCCATTGATCATTGTATCCGCTGTTTATTTTGTGTAAGTAATTCGTCTAGACGATCTCGGAGTTCTCTTCCTACTGATTTCGCGTCAACATCTTCGAATCCAGAATGCTATAAGAAAAAAGTGTTGATCGAGATATTAGAGAGATAAAGATAAAATCGAGATTACTCCACTATATTTAAATGTATCAGTCATGTACTGTTTCCGCCTTTTGCCCATTTCTTTGAAAGAGAGATCTAATGTAATAAGTGTCTGTATAAAAGTAAAAGCGAAAATGAGGGCATCATAAATGATGAAAAATAAAGCTCACCTTGTTATTTTCTAACCCATTGACAAGAAACTTTGCTCCATCGTCTCCGATTTCATTGTCCCAAAGACGGAGTGAGGTGAGTGTCTGTGGGAAACAATGCAGATAAGACTGTGGTAACCATGAAGAGGAAACAAAAACCTACCGTATTACTCCGTAATGCGTTAGCCAGATGTCGCGCTCCTTCGTCTCCAATTGGATTGAACGAGAGATATAGGGTAATGAGAGTCTATATAAAAATGCTCATATATATCATAATACATATGATTCTAGCCAAGAGTAAGTGATCTTACCGTGTTACTTCGTAATGCATCAACTAGATGTTGAACTCCCATAGCTTGGATTTGATTAGAACTCAAGTCAAGCGTGGCGACTTTCTGTATGGAGATGTTAAGGTTGAGACATTAGAACGATGAAGAAAAACTCAGACTAACTGTATTTTTTCGTAATGCATTAGCCATGTATTCAGCTCCTTGATCTCTAATTTGATTGGAGGACAGATCGACGGTAGTAAGTGTCTGTGTGAAGCCATGTAGATATTGATATTATACAAATGAAGAGAGAGATAGAGAATTACCCTGTTATTTTGTAATGCATGAGCCAAATATTCTGCTCCAAGAGCACCAATTTCATTCCTTCCGAGATCGAGTGTAGTCAGCGCCTGTATTAAGAAGGGTAGATGGTAATATAAAAGACATGAAAATAGAATGAGGTTTACCGTGTTATTTTGCAATGCAATAGCCAAATGTTCTGCTCCAATAGTTCCGATTTTATTACTTCCGAGATTAAGTGTAGTGAGTGTCTATATGAAGTAATGTAGATGCTGGTATAAACAGCATGAAAACAGAATGAGATTTACTGTATTATTCTTTAGAGCATCAGCTAGAGACTGTATTCCTT